CCCTTTTCCCCATGGCTCCCCCTGCCCACTCTAGCTCCCAGCATTTTTTTTAAAAGCCCTAGTGCTCACCAGGTGCTGCCGGGTGGGGGAGCGATCCACACTGCATGGGGGGCTCTGCACGAGCCTCAACCCCCTCCCCCCCTGTCATTCCCCCAGCCCTTCTACAGGTGCACCGCCCAGGCCAGCTCCACCCCTTTTAAGAAAAAAAAGTTCTTGTCCAAAGATTCAGAGAGCTTTGAATCAATTTGGACCTTTAAATTGCTCCCCTGATTCGATGCGGATTCAGACACCAAATCAGGCCAAATCTCCTCCGAATCAAACCACCACCCCGAAGCTTTGCACAGCCCTACTAGCCAGGGTCTGAGGGTGGAAATAGGGCAGACCAGGGGCAGGAGTGGTGAGTCCCAGGTTTTTTTGTTTTTTGCTAAATTCTTAAAGGGCCGGAGCTGGCCTGGGTGGGGCACCCATGGAGGGGAGCAAGGGGGAGCAAGGGGGATGGGGAGGGGAGGCTCGTGCAGAGCTCCCCATGCAGTTTAGGGCAGTGGGGGCAGCGAGGATTGCCCCTGCCGAGTCAGGACTTTTTTTCCCTCAAGTGCTGGGAGCTGTGGCGGGCAGGGGGGGCCTTTCCAGGGCGGGGGGGATGTGGCCTGGCTGATTTGGCCGAATTGAATCAGGACAGTGATTCAAATCATTGAATTGAATCACTGTCCGCCAAATCCAAAGTGAATACTAGCCTCTTCTCACAGGCCTACTGACTAGGCTTATTTTAGGACTCTGGCTCCTCCCCCAAACTGGACAATGCCTCCCTGCAGACCTACCATTGCCTCCCATCCTGCCAACCCCTGCCCCCATGGACCTGCTATCCCTCCTTGATCTCCTCTACCTCCAGTTACTTAGTGTTTGTGCTCCCCACATGGCTCCTGAAAGCAATGTGGTCAAATTCAGTGTGCACTGCTCCCAGTCTAGGTCTAGACAGCTTCAGACCTAGGCCTAGACTGGGTGCAGCAAATGCTTGTTTGCACCCTATATAAATAGTGAATTTGCCCTTACCTCAAATTAGGCTACACTCTAGTGGGCACTTTTTAGAGTTATAGATGTCATTTGACGTACCTGAGGCAGAGAAACCTATCCTGGGTGCAAGGATTAGCCATTGGGTAGTTTTTGAATATTGCTTCTTCCAACCATACTTTTGAATTAAAAAAATAAAAAAAATAAAGCAACTGCCAGCTTGTTTTGGGTGGAGCCTGATTTTGCAGGTATGCTCTGGGCCCCTCAAGTTGCTCCAAACAGTCCTGAGGCACTTCTGGGTATGTGAAAAAGCAGGATTTTAGTAGCCTAGGAAGCTGTACAGGCACAAAGGTAAGCAGCTAAGAAATCTAGGCATAGCTCACAGTAAGCAGTGGTTTTGATGATTACACCCCTGGACTGGGAGAATTATATTCCACCCAAGTCCTTTTGTGTCTCTATGTTATCTGTAGGATCAGGAGTGTTATCCTTTCCTATCCTCACAACACCCTGTGGAGTAAAACTTATGAAATGCTCAGAAGCTATGAACCATTTTTCCATTATGAAAAGGTTTTTTTTCCTTATTCATCCTTCTCATCTCCCCATGCTAAACTTCAGTACTCCCTTTCTTCCAAGCTAGCATTGTGTTTTGTGGAATGCAGCGAGATTTCCTCTCTGCAGCTGATTTAATTGTGTTTGCAGGTAAATGGTTAAGCTTTTGTTGTTACACTAGTCCCTTATGTGCTATGACAATGGCCAGCAGGCTTACTTCTTGTTTGAGACCACAGGTCCATGTATTGTCTAGTAAAATGTTAATCAGGATAGTTCTCGTGTGACCAACTGGTTCTTAAATATCCTTCAACAATTGAACACCCATGCAAAAGCAATGGCTTCGATACTGTAAATGTTGCTTGTGCTCAACTAGGAATGAGGAGGAATAATCAGGAGTGTAAAGACAAGCAAGGTAAGTGGAAGGAGTTTGTTAGTAGAAGGCATTTCACCTTGGGATGTGCAAGGGAAGTTGTTATAATCAGGGAAAGAAAGTAAAACCTGAAAGGCCACATTGGCGACTATATTCCTTAGCCAAGGACTATTTGGAAGCCTTTGAAGTTGCAGAATTTGGCTTTTGATGTACATGTTGTATAGTGAGCAGAGAGGGAGATAGGCCCACATATTAAAAATCAGGACATGCAATACAAATAGGGCAGGCAACTTATTCACCATATGCTGTTCATAAATTAAGCCTGACACCTGCCGATATAATAATATGCAGGCTTGTGATTGAAGTTATGTTGAGGACTGTGTGACTTTAACGTTCTTTTAAAGTTGTTTGTCAACCCGGGCCATAATATGGTTATATATAAATAACATTATCAAACAAATTTAAATGGTAACGTAGGCTTCAGGCATACATGGATACGTTCTTGACACCATTTTTCACAGCTTGAACTGTAAGTAATATAAATAAAGAGAAAATGTAGAAATAGAGGTACCATTTGGGAAACTAATGATTCTGGCAGCTAAATTTGTTACCTGAAAATAAAAATCTAAGTTTTTGCCAGTGACCAAAAAAGCTTGGATCGCCACTTGGCTTTACTGTTCAACATAGTTTTGCATATGAGTAGCTCCCAAAAATCTTTCAAAGGTACTTCTGGTCACAGAGGGCCAGATTTCACCTTCCCAATACTCACTTTAAGTAACAAGTGCAAAACTTAGCCAGAAGCCCAATTGATTTTGAAGGCCTTGGATGAGGAAGGAGGTACAGCTCTGAGTAGTAGACTGAAGTCAATTTAGAAAGAGGACCAATTTAACAAATGGCTCTGAGCATTTAGAGGAGCTCATTGCTTCTGCAGGAGACTCATAATTAAGAAGAAGTGGCACACCACATACTTCACTAATTGTCTCAGTGGTTGACCCTGTTAGACCTTCTCAGCTAAAATGAAATATTTCAGCTTAATTAGCTTGCTTTTCTTTGGACACATGTGAAATAGTGCTGCACTATCCTACTAGTATCCTAAATATGGGGTTACAGAAAGAAACATAAGGATTTCTTCCATCCCCCCTCCACTTTCTTCTCCTGTTAGCCATCCAGCATAGCATGGTAGGTAATTAATAATTGTGCCTGCCAGGCCCCAGGAGCTCAAACTCTTTTACCAGCCCCACACAAGGCCAAACACTGGTTATACTAAAAGTCAGTGGTGATATCCCCACTGACTTCCCTGGAACCAGCATTGATCTCACGCAGGGCTCGCATCATGCCCTCCCAGAACATGGCCACTTGTGGGAGAAGAACACAGCAGCTGTTTAACAGTGCACAGTAATACAGAACAACAGTTTAGACTAGGAAATGAAGAATACCATATCCAATTGCAACTGCAGGTGGATGTTAGGTAGGCAGAATGTTATTACCACAGTTGGAATTTGGCCTTGACTCGATCAGAAACTATCCTGGGAGCATTCGTGACCAGAGGTCAGAAGCATTGTGGTGTAATGGATACAGCATGGATCCAGGAAGCAGATACTCCTGACTGTGCCAGTGAGATGAAGTTTGGCCTTGACAATAACATGTCGACAGTATGTTAACAAAATCATAGCCCTTAAAGAACCTCGTGTGTGTGCTGGTGGATAGGAGGTGGGGCTGTGTGTGGGAGTCTGTTTTCCTGTTTAAACAAAAAGAAGATCACCTTCATAGGTATAGCAAAGGAGAGAGAGGAGAAAAATGGGGGGACAGTGGGGTGTCAGAGGGTGTGGGATTAGCACATAGTCAAACATAAAATAAATAAATAAATAAATAAACCCTATCAACCCCAGCACCCTAATGCTGAATAATTTTTGTATTTAATGCAGGCTGGCTCAAAATGAGCCAAACATCTGCCTGAACCAAGCCAGCTCCTAAGGCATGTGTGATTAAGCCGTACCAGGTTTGGTACCTATAGGTACATAAGTGAAGGATGTGGTTAGCGCCAGGTCTGGCCTCTTTTGGAACCACCAGGTTAGCATTTCGAAACTAGGCCAACAGGAGGAGGCTTTTGGCTTGGTCTTGGAGTGACTCTTGAATTCATGGGTGAGAATAGGCGTTTGCCATACCATGTCTAGGTTTAGGCTGGTTATTTAAGCTGGGGAGCAGGCAGGTCTGGGTAAACTGGTAGGTATGCAAGAGGGTGTTGGTGGGTCCTCAGAGATGTGGGCTGGTGAATTGGCTGGGAGGGGGGAAGGAGTGGCTTAAAGTAGTCTGATCGGGGTCAGTTGGGTAGAAATAGCAGAGCTCCAGGGCTGGGAAGAGCAGCTGGGTTTTCTTAGACAGAGGGTTATGCTGTGAATGCATACAGGCATTTACTAGTCCAGTTTAAGCCCTTCCTAGATCAAATTAACCCCTTCTAGATCTAAGTGTAACTCCTTAGGTAAACTAATGCAGATCAGGAAAATTAAGCTCTCTGGATGCCTGCAAGAGAGGGCATTTAGATGGGCCTTACCACGGTTAGGCCCATCTAAATGTAAGACCGCTACATGGCCCATGCCCCTGGATCTGTAGTGCGGTACTTTAACTATCCTGTGCTGACCTCCAGAGATGTTGCAGTAAGTGTAACTGAGCAGAGTTCCAGATATCAAGCTATTTCTGTCCCTGTCATTTGGAGTGCAAATTTACCTTCTGCTGGGCGAAATCTAGCATGGCGCATACAAGCATGGATGTCTGATGCCTCGAGTCAGGGGGAACACGTGCTTCCCCTGACATCAGTCAGCAACGGGGGGGGGGGGGAGAGAGGTGTCCCCTGGTGGCTGATCATGTGGCCGATTTCACTTACCATAAAAGTGGTCATGCTACTTCTGGAACTCCCACAGTCACTTCTGGAAGTGGTGCAGTCGCTTTTTCCAGTGGCCCCACTACCCAGCCGGTACTTACGGGGGGAGGAAGGGAGCACTGGTGCTCCTGCCTGCCCCCCTGCCTGCCAGCTAAATGGATCGTGGCCACAGAGGCGGTGCACTGACACTCATGGAGTACATGTGCACCTTTTATGCATTGCCCCTGCATACAAGACTAAATTCTACTGAAGCTTACTTTATGTCCTAAATAGAATTGTGAATTTCCCACCTGCAGAGGATGTGACCTGCTGATGTTCAAACTGAACTTAAAGAGAGGAGCACAGATTGCAGGATAAGAGTCTAGAGGGAGGCTGTGAGCAATGGCTGGAATGCTACTTGCACTTACAACTCGTCTGGAAATAGCTGTTTTCCTAATTTAGTGTTACCAACATGGTGTCTTCTCATGCATGCATTTTATGAAACAGGTGCAAGGGCTATCTTATTTGACTCCTAATCATGCCCTATTTGGAGCTTCAAGCAGCTTGTAAAACTTCTGTATGAAATGTGCATATGGATAAAACTTATGGATAGTCCTTAGACAAGAGGAACTTTAGATGAAGTTGGTGAAAAAAATGCTGAATAAGATCTAAAGAGTGATTGTTCTATAATCTTATCATTTCCTTAATGAGCCAAATACTTTTTCTTTGAAAGTCTATCCTAACTTACTATTACCCAGTAGCGGCCTTCGGGGAGGGCAAACTGGGGGACCACTTGGGGCCCCACACTTTAGGGGGCCCCAACATTTTGCAACAATTTTGGGGGGGACTGAAGCTATTGAAAACGTTGTTCTTTCTTCAACTTATGAATGTTTCATGGATAGGGCAAAGGGAAATTGAAAATGTCCAACTTGCTTATAGGTCATCAAAATTAAGCCTCTAAGGGGCCCCAAATGACACTTGTGCAGGGCCCCAACAACCCAAAGGCCACCCCTGTATTACTTGGTTTGTCAGGAAAACAGAAGTCAACATCCTTTCAGCTCTGTGTTTATTATAGTACAACCAACATATACATTTAACAGTTTCAGTTACCTTTGGAATACAAAAGTGGAAATTATTTAAAAAAAGCAGGTCTGGGAAACTCAGAGCTTACCATTAGGAACCTACCAAAATCATGGTGAAGGTGCACTTCAGTCCTTTTAATCTTGCTCACTTTTCTGTGCCCCCGTCCCCCCCACGATTGGCAGAGCCCTGCGGCTTGCTACTGATCAGTCAGGAGGCAAAAACTATGGTTTTAAATATGGAACAGTTTTGCCTGACATTGCTGAGTAGCCAAGGGCCCCAGCAGCCCTGCCAGTCCCTGATCAGCTGGGAGACAAAAACCGTGCCGTATTTCAAACCATGGTTTTTGCCTCCTGGCCAATCAGCAGTGGGACCTCCAAGGCCTCCACCAATCAGAGGCAGGAGGCTGCACAGTGAAACAAACAAGATTAAAGGAGCTGCTGCACAGCTCACTTCTGTCACAATTTTGGTAGGTCTCTCCTTATTATTGATCACTTTAGTCATGTTACACCATTAACTGTGGAGATTTACAAATAGACTCACGCCACCAACAGAGTTTTTCCTCATATCATTCTATAAATAGTTATCCTATAGAGGTGAAATTCATCCCCGTGCAATTGGCTTGCCCTATAAATTACTTGTGTCCTATGGGTACCTTATAAGATGGATATAAGTGGAACATAAGAAATGCAGAATTCTGCTGGATATGTGGAACAGAGGGTACTTTCACACCAAAGGAATACATTAACCTTACTAAGAGAATGTAAGGTATTATGCGGTCAGTCAGTTTGGTTTCAATTTTCCATTTAAAAGATTGTGAAGATTTTCTGAGCTGCTATTTCTTGCCAGGCAAAATATATCCTGAGCTGCTGATGCTGTTCTTGGAAGGGGCAGGAATCATCTTTATAGAACCGACTGAAAATATTATAGAGCAGTTTGGAGAAAATCTCTCTTTTGTTCTCTCTATCCAAAAATATAGGCTATTACAAAGTTAACACCTTGACAAGCAATCTTTAAACTGTCTAAAAAACTTGAAAGCATGGAAAGTCTCTAAAAAAGAATTTACAGAATCCTTGAAACGGGTTCAACCTTTTTAAAGCTATGTGCATTTTGAAAACAAATTCAAAGCAATTTTCACTTCAGCGCCATTGTCCTTCTGTGTGTGAATTTTCTTAGTGGTGGGAGGAAGGAAGGGAACAAGAATATTTTTAATTGAAATTCTCAAAAAACATTTTTGAAAAAACTCTTCTGACTGTCATGACCTATCAATATATTTAACACAACTCCCCCAACCCCACCTCAGACATGCATTTGAAGGGCCATTAGTAAGCATATTATATCATTAAGAATTTCCTTTGACCTTTATGACAAAATAGGGAAAATATTTTATTAAATTATTTTTTTTTGCCATCTCTAAACATCAGATTTTACAACTTTGGAGTCCAATTACACAACTTTAGACGATGCTTTGGAGTACAGTAAATACTAGTTTTGTAAATGGACCCTGACACTCAGCTTATAGACAAAACTGCTGAAGTCCCACGAGGCTCTGAAATCTCATTAAAGTCATTAAACCCATAACACTCTGCCCATAGTAGGCACAAGATGTACAAGTATCCAAGTCAAATTACCTGCCTAACCCTTCTTTTCCATGCACTAAATTCATCAATGTTGAGATTTCAAAAACCGGCTGGCCTCGGAGACATTTCTATTTAATAGCAAGAATAAAATGAACAGAACACAAAAAGCAGCCAAAGGCACTTATACATAATAAGACCACGGGAGCAGAATATGAAACGCCACCAAAACTGAGCCGTGTCTAGGCCTATTAAAAATAGCACGGTTGTCTATGAACAGACAGATGATTTTCTTGGCATTAACTGTTTGAAACTATTAACTAGCAGTCTACAGCAGTAATAAAAGTCACCTGGAACAGTTCTTCTGTTTCTTACATCACCTTGCGAATTTGTTATGATTATCATTTCACGTTGTTTTAAAGCACAGCAGACTTTGAATTTAAACTGGGAAATCTGTACACAATGAGAAGGGAAAGAAAGCTTTAAACACATTTCAAAATCTTATTATTGATGGAAATTTCACTTCCTGATCTCTGATTTATCTTTCCAGACATCCATCCTGAAGTATTTGTATGTCAGAACTGTAGGTAACTTGGTGGTAAATGTAAGTGCCTGAGAAACACCCCTTTCTGAGCTGAGAATATGGCAAGAGATGTTTTAGGGTATTTAGTTTCATATACTGAGCCATGGGCCAGATCATAAAATCTTCACCTTGTTTTTCACAGTCTTTTTTTCTCAGTATCAAAGGGTGTTTGACTGAGTAAGGATCAAGTGAACACTCAGGTAGGATCAGACATAGTGCTTTGAGATAATAGATTTAGATGGAAGCATGTAAAACCAAATCTGAAGGGATAAGGACCAATCCCGTCACTGTTATATTATATCCTATCGCTGTTCAAAAGAAGCATGATCAAGCCAGTTTGCTAACATGTGGATTATAAATTGCTCAAGCACTTGTTTAAATGTTCAGCACTGGAAAAACATAAATGGTGCAGTCACTATCGTACAAAGCCATGGAAGTAAAAAGCCAGGGTCACTTTTCAAAGCTTCAGAAATCTTTCCCATGGCATGTATAATTTTCTTCCCCTTCCTTTTGCTTTCTGAAATGAACTCATTTTATTAAGCTCAAAATCTGGATTGCAACCTCAAAGAATTCCCCACTTCAGCTAACCACAGAAGCCTAATTCAATGTAATGTTAGCAACACTATGGTAAAATATAATATTAGAGACCATATAATTTTTTATAAGATGTAACAATGTATTAGAGACACATGTGGGCTTAATTTTCTACTCATGCACATGTAATTCTATTGACCTCCATGTTGCTAAATCCCAATTTATGTTTGCATGAATGAGAACAGGATCAAGCCAATGGATCAATGCACAACTGCTTTCAACTTAGGCTGTGATTTGGAAGATCTTGCTTCTATTTTTTTCCCATTAGATCAGAATCCATTAGATCAAAGTTAGCAAGGATAAGCTAAATAATCATTAGTGCACTGACATGAGTCAGAGTTGGAGCTGGTTCTTGAATATTTTCAAATGTTATTAACTGATTGCAGTAACCTTGTGTTTTAAAAAAAAAATACCCTTTTTTGTATGAGTCTTTACAACACATCATACATATTGCACAAAGACCAGAAGAAAATCAGTTTCCACTAGCCACCTGTTGATTCCTGGATAAAGGACTAGGGGCATATCCGATTTTACTTATTTCATAAGGGTTTAGACTCTGGAGCTAATGCTGATCTCACAAGAATGTAAAACTAAAAACGTTATTAAGGTTTATTAGGTTACATCACTACAGCTTGGATGAGAATCAGGCCCAGGCTGTCTGTAGCATGTGTGCATATTAATGTGTGGTTAGAACATTTTTTGCAGCAATGGAACCAGCTTATCAGAATAAGTGTCACTATGTTATTTGTGTCTTCTGCTAATCCTGTTTTTTTTTTTAACTGACTTGAAAATTATTACAAGCTTCAAGACCCGGTTGGGTCTTTTAAAGGTTGCATCGGAATTCAGCATCCTAATCACTACCAACCGCACTGTATGCATTTGTCTGACAGGCTGCTCAGCCAAACTCCAGCAGACCAAGAAAGGGGCTTCTTTTTTTGAAAGTAGTTTTATATATTTGGAGGGAGGGGAGAAGATTTGCTTAGGGATTAGGTCTAAATTGGTTTTTTTTATTATTATTATTATTACAAGTCTCCACTAAGTGATCTGTCTAAACCTTTCCATTATTAGTGCAAGGATAACTTTTCCCCCTTTCAACCCAAATTTCAGTTAGCATTATTTTATTGAGCTCTTTAAGGAAGTTGGGTTCAGTTTCATTTTAACTACGAGCCTGTTGTGACTCATAGTACAGCTCAGCAGCACGACTGACCCCCAAATCCTCATTTTGAAATGTAAGCAGTTGCAGGTTTTGGCTTTTAAATTATACAGAACTTGATTTTTTTTTTCCATGGAAAAGTATGCTTTCCTGACCCGCTTTTCATGTTACAATTCCAGAGTTAGCTCATTTTGTTCTCCTTTGAACCCCCCTCTGGGACTGAAGGAGCTGCTGCTAACTTTGAATTGTGAAACACTGTCTAACGAAACCCCTTCTTACCTTCCTTAGTGGTCCCTGATCTGTCCAGTTCATTTACTGGTCTCCAGCGTCCCTGCACACGGATCATCTATATGAATGCAAAATACTGTGCTAGCTCAACAGGCAACTCTTATAAAACTGACTGAACCAAACATTTTTATCTGCACAATATTATTAAATGCCCCTCCCTAGGGAGAGGAGGGGGTGATTCCAATATAGCATAATGACTTGGAGGATATTGAATGTATTTCCCCAAGACAGAAGTGGCCTCATACCTCACTTAGGGCTCTGCTTTTCTGCCCCACCCAGGAGCGCTGAGATCATCCCTCTGAGAGGAAACCTACTGCAAGATGATTTGAAATAACATAAATCGAAGCTGAATTTAAGAATTTCAAAAGAAGTTTGAATAAAAAAAAATCAGCCCTTTAAGGCTCAGGTTCCTAAGGCTACAGCTTTTAGTCACATAAAAACTTATCTTGAAACCAGTAGAGAGTTCTGTGCGAGGACTGTAGACCATGAGAGTATTTAAACCCAAGCTAGTCCATTTGTCTTTTAAGGTGGAAAACTATATTGAACAACATTTTGTTAGTTTATTTATGGAGGCAGGCAAAACTTTTTTTTGTGATATCTTTTATTGGACCAATTGGAGAACCACTGGATAAGCTTTTGGGCATCTGAGGAATGACACCTGATGCCCAAAACTTCTCCAACACCTTTTCTAACTGTACAGTTGGTCCCATGAAAGATATCACTAAAACGTTTTGCCTTTTAACATGTCCTGGACCATCCTGACAGCAACAACACTCTTACCTATTTATGGCTAAATTCCATGTATATTACTTGGGGGAATTGGCCAACAGAAATCAAGGAATACTGTCTCCCTGCAGGTGGCAAACAAGATTTAACCTGTAAGCAGTACTTAAAATACTGCGTTCAATCCTATTCCCACCAATTTCAATGAGAATTAGGAGTAAGCCCCTTGTCAGTATATATAATCATGAGACAGGATGAACCACGTGAGGCAATCATCTTAGTTTAGTCCTGGCTTATTGCTTCATATTCACACAAGGGCTAAGGCTGAGAGATGGTACTCTGGGGAATGGTAGAATCCAACAAGGAATAAATCAGTGAGTTCTGCTTGGTGAAGGCAATCACCATACTATATTTTCAGAAGTCACAAAAAGATTTAGAGTATTTCATTTTTTCAGCGGTCATATTAAGACTTCTTGAGGGGCCTGATATTCATAAGGCAAATGCTCACTAAATCCTCAATAAGTAGTTCCAAGTGACCTTAACAATTTTAACGTGTGGTGTGATCATAGAGTCCTTGTCCTCCACATCCACTAGAGAGCACTAAAAGGCTGAACTAGGGAGACAGTAAGAAAAGTTCAGACAGCTGGATTACAACCCGAAGTATGGCTGTTTGTCTCTCTTGATTCCTCACACTACAAAAGGTACTCTAATCACTAGTCACTTTTAAAAACTCTGTACTTGCAAGTGACAGCAGGATCTGTATGTTTAAAGTTCTGTGTAAAGCAACCTACTACCTATCTTTTATAACATACAGCACTTAGTGCTTAACACTGTCGAACTATTGGGCACACATTCCCAGTGCTTCTTCTGAAAGAAACCCATCTAGGTTAGGGACAGACATTCACAAAGCCTGAGGCTGAGCCTGAGCTTCAATCTTTGCAGGTTAGTTTAACCTGGCTAGGCTGAACCAGTTTGTAACTGCACACACATCCCAGACATGCAGGCACATGCCTTCAGTGACTAAGGCTAGAAGCCAGGGGACACTAGAGCAGCCCTCCCTCCCTTCCACAGTGCTGAGCTGAGGGGGCATGGCCAGGTCCTGGCAGGTTGCTCTGATTAGGGAGCAGTTCTCCCCGCTTCTGACCAGTCAAGAAGGGAATTGATAACATGTTATCACCCCAACTCATTTATCACACCTAACTCAGTGTTTAGCAGCCCATTAAAAAAACAACAGAGGGACATTACCAGCTAACCAGTTTGACCCAAATCAGTTAAGTCTGATACTACTTTCAACCAGGTTCATCTCAAACCGGTTTCAGCCATTTTCAAACTGATTTATATGCACTAAACTTCTGTTCTGTTATAGGTTTAAACCAGTTTCTGATCATTTAAACCAGTTTTTGTGTTTAATGTGGGTCCCTAGCCCTAAAGAGAATTATATTTGGTATCCCTGGCTTTATATAATACATTTTTAAAAATCTGCTTTAGGTTTTTACAAGAAACTTGAGTAAGCTGAGGCTCCTTTCTGAAATGTGAAAAAAAATGCATCATTGTTTTTGTATCTTTCCACAGAAAGGAAATATACAATGACAAAACTTGTATCTACGCAATTATTGATCAGGGACTGAATGCACACACACGTTGGGTAGTGGATAGGTCTAATTTCTAGTATTCAGAACTAAAGTTTTCAGTTCCTTAATGAGTTGCACACCAATCACATGGGTTTCCCACAAACTTTGCTCTCAAGTCTTGTAGAATGCATGAGAAACAAGTAAAGTCTGTCTTTTTGGTATCCATCAGAGCTCTCTTCCATGTGAGGAAGTGGCTAATTTGTCATTTCACACTCAAAAAGGCGTGAAAGGGAAAACAGGGAAGTTTTGACAAAGTGGGGGAAGGCAGGTTGCAGAACTAGAGAAGAAACAGAAAAGCCTGAATTTGATCACGCTTCATCTGGTGTAAATCAGGAGTAAGTCCAATGAAGTCACACTGCTTAGAGTAAGGCTGCATATGTCTTTCCTATACAGAATGATGTAACCTATTAAACAGTAAAGCATAAATCTAGCAATACTTTCCCAATGGAGTTACTGTCAACAGAAATCTGCTTATTTTTGACTTGTGCTTCTATGTATTTACACATGGGTACTTTTTGTTTTTTATTTAATTATAATAAAAAGTATTTATTCCAACAATGCAACAATTTGACTCTGAAATACAAAAGACCTTTAAAACAGAAAAAAATAAAAAAAAAAGAATACACACATCTGAGGAATGTTTGCACTATCTCTGTCAAAAAATAGGTTTCCCTCATCGTCTTATGTTATCAAGTGTATTTTTGTCCTCTTCCTTTATTTTTTTTCTTTCATGAACTAACAGCATGAAAAGAAGCCAGCAAAAAGGTCAGAGTTATAGAGGTGAGTGGAGACAATCTGGGTAAAGTGTTCAAAGAGACAAAAAAAGGTGAAGGCAGAAATCCAATTATTTGTTAATCGGATTTGTGCACACATCTCCCACGCACCGTTTAGGACATTTACTCTCGAGTATCTTGCTGGCAGTTTCAATTTGAATCAACATTTCATTTCAGCAGATGTACTGCAAACTGGTGGCTACTTAAACCCTAATGAATAATGCTCTGTATTTCCTCCTCTTAAACTATGATCAGGCTTTTCTTTTTCTCTTCTTGGCACAAACACAAGTTACTCCTAAGCCAATACTTAATTGATTTTTTTCACATCGCCTTTCTGTGCTAGCAACCCCCACCCACATGCCTAGTTATGAGCCCAAGGGTCAAGTTAGTGTTGTTTTGCAGATCTGTCACATGTTTATATATCACCTTTCATCTATAAAGATGCCAAAACACTTCTACAAATACATCTGCCCACCCCTGAAATGTAGCCACTTCTGGAGTGGAATGTAGCAGCCAATTAATAACAGCCAGTAATACAAACGCTAAATCCCATGGAAAAATTATGTTAGTGAAACTATGAAACACCCACATGAAATCTCGCATATTGGCCTCTCACCCTCCAAGTACCACCTAAAAGTCCAAAACTTTTATTTTAAAAAAAATATTGCCTAGGATGCGGTACTCAAATCAGAAACATCTCATTTGATATTGTATTCCACAGTACAGCCTTATACAGATTAATAATGACTGTGCATTATATGATCTCGGTGAGAAGCAATATTAATTACAAGGAAGGATGCAACCCCCCCCCCCAACACAATATTTTCACATGTAAAATGTTCTGTCTTTAAATAGAATATCCAAATTACGTGGCTGTAGGGCCTGCATGTCGGCTGGCAGTTTCATGGTGCCTTCGATTTCGCTTTTTCTTCATCTCCTGCACGTGCTTCCATTTGGCCCCGCCTTTGTTTCGCTGCCGCCGCTTCTCCCGGTGCCACATCTGTTCACAATACTCATCCAGGCTGAAGCTGGGGCTGCTGACAAGCTGAATGTAATCCTTGTACCTCAGCCGGGACTCAGTTAGTAAATCCCTCACCCGTCCTTCCTCGTCCTCCGTTTTCTGCGTGCTTTCCATTTGCCCGTTTTCTATGACATTCAAGTTCAACTTCACAATGGTGTGGATGAATGTGTGCTCCTGGGCTTTGCAGTAATAGGCTCCAGCATCCTTTTTCTGCAAGCTGCGGATCAGCAGGCCATGTTCCGTTTTGATCACCCTCTCGTCCGCCTTCAGCTGTGTGGTCAGACAAAGCAAACACAGTATGTAAAAATTATAGGGAAAATACAATTTGAGTGAGAAGCAGAAATGCAGGAGGGGATGTCTGAGTTAAGGGACTGTCCCTTCCTGTCTTGAGCATCAGTATAACACAGCACGCGGCTTTCTGAATTTTGGAGTTCTGCTCTTCAAGGGATGGTTACAGTGTCTGTAATGCTTCAGCATGAGTAAGTAAAAATTACGTCCTGGACAATTTTTTTACAATATTAAGTAAGTAAAAACAATAGGAAGATTCTTTAATTAAGCAGAGATTATTTAGCTGGACAAATCTCTGGCCAGGGACCAGCTTTGTTCCTGTATTACTATCACACCTAGCATATATGTTTCCTGGTCCATGATGGGGCTTCTAGCCTTTACCACAAAATAAATAAGTAGCAGTCAGTGAAGCTAATCATCACAATTCTGATCTGACACTGGTTTTGCAGATGGGGCTCCACTAATTTCAGTGGAGTTACTTCTGATCACATCATTTGTCAGTGAGAAACAGGTCCGAGGAGATCAGAGAGATAAAATCTAATGTCATTATTTAAGGGTCCTGTTACAGTTCAGGATCTATGAAAGCGAGCATTGAAAAAGACACAATGTTTTTTGAAGTGGAGGCTGAATATCTCTGCCATCTGTGCCCCACCACAGCAACATTTGCAGGATTGTATTTTAGAAGGTAAAGATCTGCTACGTAGAATAATCAGATGCTAATCTGGAGTGCTACATCACTATACCCGGGTACCTGAGACAACGCAGGCCTCCAAGATGCCAGCTACTTTGCACACTGGAGTGTGATTCAGAACATTAATTGATCATCATGAAGGATGATGGTCTAGTAATAGTTAATGATGAAGCCCAGTTAATTTAATATATTTACAGATGGGAAAATATGGAGGGTAAGTGATTTGCCCTGGGCCACACCAAAGACTCGATGGCACAGTCAGGAATTGGAATCAGAGCCCTGATCCCCAATTCTGCACTAACTCTATAGTCCAACTAACATATATTTTAATGATATAACAATTAACATACAACATAAATACTAACAGAGCTAACTGCCCCTCTCTATACTCCAAGGCACACTGAAGTGCCGATATTGCAATGGAAAGTTGTCACCTCACACTGTGCTGTGTTTTACTGCCGCACAGAGGCTGCAGCAAAGAACGGCAGCAAAGGGACTAGAGTTCAGCTTGATTAACCCATAATGCAGCAGGCACTCAAAGCACATCTTCAGCACCACTGGTAGCATTGTTATAACACAAGGAGCCCATTTAATCCAGCACCGAGGGCTTGACTTAAAAAAAAAAAGAGAGAGAGAGAGAGAGACAATCTGAAAACCATCCCAGACTACACATCTGTCCCTCCAGCAAACTTCAGAAGATGAAGATCAGGAAGGCATAAAGATGGCTAAATTAGATTTTTTTTCACCATGGGTAGCCTCCATGCTGATTCTTTATGTGAAAAATGTGTGCAACTCCCCTCACCACAGAATTTACACACACACACAAACATACACTATATACCAGTGTGTGGATGTATACACATATGCATCTATATGCATACACATACATACACACACACACACACACACACACACACACACACACATATATATATATATATATATATATGTGTGTGTGTGTGTGTGTGTGTATATATATGTATATATGTATGTATATGTGTATACATACACACACACACATACATGCATATATATACACATATCTTTCCCCATGATACTAAAATACCAGTGCCTCATCATGGGTTTGTGAGGATTAATTAATAATTAATTTGGTAAATCACTTTCACATCACCATAAACATATTTTTGGCCAGCCTTAGAACCATAGAAAATGAGGGCTGAAAGGGACCTCAGGAGGTCATTTAGTCCAACCCCTTGCTCCTGACTGCCTGTGCTTGCGTGGGTAGCTAACATACCAGAGAGGCCCATCAGTCTGTGTACCACTATGGATGTAATAGCATCAGAGACTACAGATCAGCTCAGAAAGATGGTGTGGATTAGTAATGAGGAGGGCTATGGGAGTCATGGCATATCAGTAGGCTCTGTTTGGTTCTCCTACTCATTCACGAAGTAACTTTGGACAAGTCAGATCTCTTTAGTTTCCTTACTTGTAAATTGGGAATAATAACAACCGGCAGCGCTAGGGTGAAGTCAGGTCTATATTTTGCCACTCCGAAGTATATAAACACGAAGTAGCTGTTTGCTGTCTTGGGATTGTCAGAGCACAGCATGCTTCCATCGTACTCCAATGCTGGAGACTGGCAGAGGGCCAGGCACACTGCACCTCCTACACTATTCACATTTCCAGCTGGCTGTTCATGCTGGCTATGCCTGTCCGAAGATGCCACAGTGGGGCTCAGCTCATTGTCGAGTAAAAGAAGGAGCAGCATTGTGGAGGGCCTTGAGCAATCTAGAATTAGGAAATACCTGCTGAGTCACTGAGTCCATCACACCACTAATTATTACTTATTTACTAGTTGCACCGTAGCAATCCCACTCATTTGGACTGTGTCTAGTTTTAATATGCTAGACAATGGGGCTCCAATGGTTCTTCTTGAGACGTTATATATACCCCAAACTGACACACCCCCTCATCTGGCAGTGTCCCTTGATCCCAACCCACCAGTATTTCTATTTTTAATGAACAGGATTCTTATTGAACATCCTGTGTAAATCATGATTATTGATTTACAGTGACTGTCACCTCCTACTTTTCGTGGCTTCATTGTTCATTCTTTTCTTATCGTCTGACAGGATGAAATTATGGCTCTGATTTAACACATATTGAGCAACACTTCATTACTGTTTTCCCCCATACCTCTCTCTCCCCTCCCCACCTCCTTTCTCTTTTTTGGTATCCTGTTTATGTTGTTTTACCTAGAGGTTCAGAGCTCTTCCTGTCTTTCCTCTCTATTTCCCCCCCACAGGATTCTGGAGTTTCATAAACACCTGGCATTTCATTATTTTGGTAATAGATCTTTAACCTTTCCCTTGAATACTTAATTTGTTCACTGGTTCTTGACCTGCAGACATAGAACTTGTTTTAATTAAAACATGAGTTTAGTGAAAAGTCTAGTTAAGTAGGAGACACCATTTTATTCTTGTTAAATGTGGCTTCATTTTTTGTTGAATTTTAATCAATAGCTCTGATGGCCTATTAATCGTAGATCCATATTTTTAGCACTTCAGCAGCACAGAGGCCCCAATTCACAAGCAATTATTTCAAGTTAAACTTAAATTGTTTCTTTGAACTCAAGACAAAATTATGAGCCACAGAAATTAAGCATTTGATAAATGTTTGTCCAGTTATGTTTTCTGATAACATGCACTGCTTTGATTCAGTTTACAAACAGCATATACATTGCAACCTTCACCTTCTCCGTGAAGTGGAAGTCATTTGAAAATATTGTATGTATTCTTTCAGCAATTTTTTTAATGATTTTTGATCCTTGGCTGAAGCACTGCAAAAAATTGCTTTGCCAAAGATGCAATGAATAAATGGTGCGGTGCACTTGAGATACAAAGGGTCTTTGGAAAAGAAAGAAGATGTCCCTTTATGTTAATAACCTGATTTTGACAGCTGGAATTGAGCGATGGGGAAAAAATAGGCATAAGATGGAAAATAACCATAGATTTGAAAGTGCCATCAGGTTAGGTCAGTGCCTTTTGTCCTTTGTTAATGATGTGTTTAGATAGCTCCCTCATTACAAATAATTCACATGTCAACTCTTTCACAGTTAAAACATTGCACCTGTCTCTGAGAAGAAAGTGGCTTCAAAGCCTGCCTTCCCTCATTAATCAACATATGAGAAAGCACTAGTGGTAAAGCTAGGCTTGACCATGTGTTAGAGCACAACCTCCAAATAAAAGCAGACTGGAAAAAGAGAAAACAAGGACCATTTTGTGAGAATTCCTATTGGTTTTCGTTATCAAGTGTGTTCATCAATATCCAATTGAAAATGAAGATTGTTTTTAATTACATGCTATTTCACTACGGTTACACTGGAAAATGAGTCTGAGTAACTAAAAAAGTTGATATCCCCCTTTTTTTTTTAACAGCCTATTTCTGAATGTATTAAAATGCTAAAGTAAAAACTGGAGGAAATGTTGGGAACATAATGACATTCTGGAGAGACATGAGTCTCACAGTACAGTGAAGGAGAACCTAACTTCCCATTAGAAGGCTAATTTTAAATCCTCGGCACAACCTTATTCAGCTCAGAACAATCTTTCTGTGTGCTATAATCTAGATATATATTCTAGGAGATTTTCTTTTTAGGAAATAATGATTGTCCTAATTTTAAAAATAATAATCTCATTCAAAGACTTCAAGGAAATGGGTTTTTTTTAAAGCTGGGGGAAAAAAAAGTCCAGTAAGTAGCGTAATGAAAGAATAATTTGGCATTGTGCTGAAAAGGTTAAAATTTATAAGCAGTAAGATAACATCAAGTTTCCCCAAGAGAGCACAACAGGCCACTAATTTATGAATATATGGTGGAAAGCAAATTGGCTGCATCTTCAATTGAGTTCAAAGAAAAGTGGCTTGATGGCTACCTGACTTTTCATTCCATCCAGGAAGAGCACACCCAACTGCTGAAACCTCCTTAGCCTGACGAAGGGTTTTTGAACCCGAAAGCTTGCTTAATAACTATTCTCCAACTATTCGGGTTGGTCTAATAAAAGATACCAAATTCACCCACGGAACCTTGTCTGCCTCTTGATGGCTACCTGATATTACAATTAATTCATCTGTGCTGTGCAATGTCTGCTTCAGCCTGGCCCATGGTTTCCACTTCTTATTGTCACTGGGTCCTTTATATCAAAAACTCATCTTGGGACTTCCCTTCTTAAATCACTAGATCTTAGACATGATAGAGTTTTATTAAACCTGCCCTCCATAAGGCATATGGAGTACATTCTCAAGGGGGGCATAAGCTTCATGTTGCAATGCC